GGGGGGGGGGGTTGAGCGTTTTCTGCCTGGATACCTGGCAGGCAGTTCAGTTTCCTCTTGTGTGCAGGTGGGGTCTGTGTCCTGGCGCCTCTTGGGACCAGGGGGCCCGTAGCGGTCTCCTCAGCTATGGCTGCTGTGTCCCCGCCCAGCCGGCCGGCCTCCCTGGCCGTGGCCTCTGCTCCCTGGCCTGAGTGCCGCGCCCGCTCTGTCCCTCCAGCCTCCAGGGCTCCGTCCCCTGGACTAAGTGCCGTGAAGTGTTTTGTCCCTGCCACACTGTCCATTCGCCTCCGTGTCCCTTTGGGGTTTTTCTGCCTCCGGTGCAGATTTTATGTCCTTTCCAGCTTTGGTTTCCTGACCATCCTGTTTCCTCCGTGTCCCGAGTGGCCTCCTCCGGGTGCCCCTGGCGCCCCATCCTGCCCCCGAGGCTGCTCCGCTTCTCAGGGGCCGTGGTTTCCGCGTCCTGCCGGGAAGGCCCTGCCGCCTCCTGTTCGTCTTCCGGCTCCCGTGGTTTGTTCTCTCCCGGGGCTGCTTTCCCTCTGCCTCCTATCTACGACCCTCCGCCTGTACCCCTGTACCCCGGACACTTGGCTCCCTGACACTCCCTTCTCCCACTCCTCTTAAAGGGGGGTCACCCATCCTGCCCCGGGGGCCGCTGCGGGGGCCGCCCTGTCACGAGGGGCAGGGTGTGAATGACGGACACCAGCCCCCGGCCAAGGTGGGGACTCGCAGGTCCCTGCAGTGGCTGGGCTGCAGCCAGCCTGAGACCTGAGGCGCCGCAGGAGGCACCTGGACACAGGCACGGAGCGGTTTCTCAACACGGGACTCAGCGCCCGCCCTGCTCATTGCCGACGACCAGGAGCCGCGGGAGCCGGCCTGGCCCCTCTCGGTCAGCACTCCCGGGTCACTCGTCAGTGTCCTGCAGGTAGGAAAGGAAGGGTCCCCTGTGGACACTACACAGAATGAGACCTAAAGAGTGAATGAGCCCAGGTTGCGGGCTCCATCCTTGGGGGGTCGTGCAGGAGGCAGCTGATCGATGACTCTCTCTCATCATGGATGTTTCCCTTTCCCTCTCCCTTCCTCTCTCTGAAACCAATAAAAACATATATATATTTTTTAAACAAATTAATAGAAGTGAGCTCTTCTGAGGCACACAATGAAGGTGAAGGGGGCGGGAATGTCATCGTCATTT